CCAGGTCTGAGACTTGAATGGTGGTGTTAGCCATGTGGGAGTCCAGTAGCCCAACCACTAGGCCGTTTGCTGGCCCCTGGAAGTTTGTGTTCTCATGCAACATTCTCCTGCACAGTCTAGGAATCTGCATTTTTAAAAGCAGCCTAATATGTTCTCATGCCTGAACATACTCTGAGAAATACTCATAGACCCCTGTTCCCAGCCTTTCTGAACAGAAGAATCACCAAGGGTATTTGGCAAATATGCAGATTCTCAGACTGATTCCAGATCCATGGAGTCTGCAAGAGAAGAACTTGAGATATTTGGGAGACAGTGTCTCTCTCTCTCTCTCTTTTTTTTTTTTAACAGAGTTTTTTTGCTGTAGGGTGTATGTGCTCACAAGAGAGACAGAAAGACTGAAAGCGAGAAATCACACTCCAGGAGATGACCCTGCCACAATCCCTTCTTCTCCACCCAGATGACTTTTTTTAAAAAAAGAATGATTTATTTTTATTAATTCCATTTGTTATTACTATTATTTTTTAATTTGACCAGACAGAGAGAGAGAAAGGGAAAATGAGAAAGTAAGCCACGAGGTCTGGGATTTGCACTGTGGCTGACCATATGGGAATCCAGCACCCTTAGCCACCATGCCACCTTCTGGCCCCCTAGTATGAGTTTTAAGTCTCTGGGACTTGAACCACGGTCGACTAAGTGGGAGTCCAGTGACATAACCGTCGCCATCTGGTGGTCCCTGGGAGACAGCGTTTTAATGGAGAGTTTTCAATGCTGGCTTTCCATTGGACCACCTGCAAGCTTTACAGTCCTGACACCCTGACCATACGCCAGGCCAATCACATTAGACTTGGGCTAGGACCCAGACATCTATGTTTTTTAAAGTTCTCCCAGTGGCTTCAATTTATAGCCAAGGTTGAGAAGCACAGGCTTGGTCAAATAGGAAATTAACCTATTTTCTTCCTACTTTTGCAAAGCAAAATATGTCATTTAGTGGTCCCAGGAGCCTAGAATAAAATGTCTTGGTACAAAGGCCGTAATATGTTACTTCCTAAACTGTTATTACCTTTTTCTAGTCTGAGAAAGTTTCCTTCCAGGTTATGTTCACTGCTCCTCCAGGCTGGCTGTTGACTTTCTGTGCAACTGCTAGCTCCAGCACAGGTGTTAAATGCTTCATTAACACTTCCTGCTGCAACTCTGAGTACCTCCTCCCTAAACAACCCCGAACTCACTGCAGAAGCCACAGTTCCAGCCATCCGGTTCCAATCCCCTGCAGCTGCTCTCAGAACCCTTTTGATGGCACTCCATATTTTGAAAGGGAGCAACACCTGCTGCAATTGCTTCCCACCTGGGCTGCTTCCCTTCCTCTGAAAGGGTAACAGCCTGATCCCCGAGGTGTTTTTAAAGGGGCCATGACCTTATTCTAGCTGCGTCATTTGGAGCGATATATTAAAAATGTATATTTAGAAGTAAATATTTGTCTCCACAACTAAGATTCTTTTTACTTTGCCTGTACTATATCTTGTAAAAGTGTTACAGTAATCATTGTGTTAGTTTTAATTCTCTGATATATGCATGTGTTGGGCTTAGAACACAAGACTCCCTAAGTATGGCACCTTGGCAAGTGAGAAAACCACAGAAACAGGAAGGTCATTCTAGCCATTTTCCACTTTTCTCTCCTGAAGCATAGTCAGAGAGGAATTCTCTGACTTACCTTGCTTGAAAGTCAAAAGATCCTCATTCCAGATGTATCCTGCCCTATATCTGAAGGCCGAGGAGATTATGAACAAAGGAGCCTTGCTAAGTTCCCCAGCTCATTACCTTCAGGTCAGGTCCCCTTCTTGTCCAATCAGACTCCTATGACGGACCATTCTTCATCTAACCTAAGCATAAAAACATACAGTTTTCCCTAGGATTTTGGATGTTCATTTCTGAGATTCCTGGGTCACGTAAGACTTTCTTAAATGAATTTGTTATGTGCTTCTCTTATTCATCTTTTATTCTAAGTGTCATCCTTGAACCTTGTGATAGGTAAGGAGAGGATGTTACTTTCATCCCCTACACATCAGTGACTCCCATCCAGACAGTAAATTTCTTGAGGTAAATGTGTCCTTTTTTTTCATAAGTTTTGCCAAAGGGTATGTGAACTTGCCAAAGAAAGAGAAAGAGAGATTATGCCCCTTGGGGGATGGCCACACTGCAATCCCATCTCCTCCATTCACCTGGGATTTGGGGCATGCACACAGTGCACACCTGGTGTTTTTCAAGCCACCCAGTCCAAGACTTGAACTGCATGGTCAGCCATGTTGGATCCAGCCACCTTAACTACTGTGCCACTAGCTGGCCCAGGTAAATGCATCTTACTCATCTAAGTATCTAATCCTGTAGAATGCCTGGTACATAGTAGATTATATTTTCTTTTTCTTTTTAAAGAATTATTTTATTTTATTTTATTTATTTATTTAATTTGTCCAGGGAGAGACAGAGTGTGAGAGAGAAAGAGGCAAGGAAAGTGAGACAGCAAGCTGCCCTGGAACTTGAAACTTGGTCAGCCATGTCGGCCTTGGTCAGCCAGCACCCTTCACCACCACGCCACCTGCTGGCCCCGGATTAGTAAATGTTAAAACAAACAAACTATATGAAGGAGGCACTGTGTTTTGGGTTGCTAATCTAATTTCCATCCAGGATCCCTTTTCCCACTTTCATTGCAGTGGTGGTTCTAGGACACAGTTCTGGCCAGTGAGAAGTAGTGGAAGTCCTCCAGGTTGGGCTGCCAGGAGAGTTTTAGTTTGCTTGCCTAAAAGAATAGACAGGCCTCACCTGCCTCTTTTACCCTGGATGCCTTTCTGCTTCCTTCTTCCTTTATTCTGCCTGGGAGTATAGGTAAAGCATATTGCAGTAATGAAACTAGAAAGAGGGCAAAACCACAAACATACTCTGTATGGAAGAGCAAAAACATAGGGAGACAGACCCCTTGATCCTGACGGTAGCAGCTACACCAGCTCTAGACTGCCTGCCTCTAGACTCATTGTTATAGGAGGGAAAAAGTCCCATGTCTACCACTATGGTTAGATTTTCTGTTATTCACAGGCAAACACATTCCTAACGGATATCACAAATGGGTTATTAGTGAGACTGCACCTAGTATTGGTCCTAGCACATTGTAGACACCCATTAAGTGTTTGCATGTTTATTCACTTATTTATACAGAGATTGATATGGATGAATCTTGAATGAGTGAATGAATAAATGCATTTTTATTTTCTGGACAGAAGGATCATCTTCTAGTAAAAGCACACTATTTTCTAACTTTAAGATGAGTCCAGCAATCTTATTGAACTGTATATTGATTCTGGAGTTTATTCCCAAGGCTCACTTCCTCCTCTTAGAAAAAGCTATCCTGGGGCCAGCCCGTGGCGTGATGTTTAAGGCGGCTGGATCCCAGGTGATCAACCATGCAGTTAAGAGTCGCAGACTCTGTGGCATGAAAGACAACTCAGGCATGTGTGTGCATACAGGAGTATGTGTGCACACATTACCAAAATCCAGAAAGGAGGGACAAATGGAGGAGATGGAATTGCAATGTGACCAGGTCGCATGATGCTTTCTCACGTTCTCACTTTCTCTGTCTCTCTGGTGAGCACTCATGCCCCTGGCAATTTTTTTTTTTTTTTAATGAAAAGAAGGCAAAAAGAAAAATCCTGTTGAAGTTGTAAATAATGTAGCAAGCAGTAGAAACAGCCTCCTGCTGTTACCAACTGCCCAACTGTCATATTTCTTTTTTTAAATTATTATTATTTATTTAATTCCATTTGTTGTTATTATTACTATTTTTTAAATTTGGCCAGAGAGAGAGAGAAAGGGAAAGCGAGAAAGCAAGCTGTCAGGTCCAGGACTTGAACCACAGTCAGCCATATGGGAATCTAGCACCTTTAACCACCATGTCACCTCCCGGCCCCCCAGCTGTCATATTTCAAGCATTCTCTTCTCTGGTAGGCAGGTTGGCAGGAGCGTTGTGTGTTCCAAGGTTAGTCAGTGGGATTAGGTTTATTCTTCTCTCCAATCTGGGCTGCCTCACTGCAGTATGTGCACTGAGCATGTTGGTGGGCAGAGCTAGGAGCTGAGGCACCCAGGACCCCCCAAAACCAAGAGGCCTCACTTGGGAGTTGGTGGTTCTGAGTGGTTAGCTGCACTAGTCATCATCTATTAAGAAAACTGATTAAAAAGGAGAGAAGAAACATCAGCTGTTTCCAGCTGAACCAGGAACCGGGAAGCAATGTCCAGGACCCATGCTTCTGCTATATAGCCTAGGATTCCTGGGCTCCTTAAAAAAAAATTAACTTGACTCCAAGCAACTTGAAAAAGATATGCTAATTCCTGGGTTTGGAGTGTACATTTTATGCTTACTTTTAGAATAATATAAATGGATTTTTGTTTTTTAGATTTAAAAAATATGGATAGTTTAGATATGCCAGATACTAGGCTAAGTGGCTATATGTCATCATGTATTTAATACAGTCCCCCTTCTGAGGTGCTGTTTTTTATTATCTTCCCATTTTGCAGATATAGATGTTGAAGTCCAAAGAAGTTAAGAACTTATCTGTGGGGCCAGCAGGTGGTGTGGTGGTTAAGGTGCTGGATTCCCACATGGCTGACCACAGTTCGAGTCTTGGACCTGGTGGCTTGCTTTCTCACTCTCCTTTTCTCTCTCTCTCTCTCTGGTCAAGTTAAATAATAATAATTAATAAAATAAAATAGTTCTTAAAAAAATGAAAAGAGCTGAGACCTCTGTCTGCGATCACACAGAGCCACAAGACCAACCTGGGGTGTCTGTCTCCAGAGCCATCTTCCCTGGTCCACCCAAACCCTATTCTTTGTTTTGGAAATGGATGGTGTATTCCTCCCGCTGCCACTGCCCAAACCCACCCCGCCAAACTCAGGACGCCAGACTCCTGTGTCAGAGCCACCATGGACAAGCAGCTCTTGGCCTTGACTAGGAGACTTACACTGAGGGGTATGTTCTGGCTCGTGTCTTCAGGATCGAAGGCCTCAACCTGGTAGATGACTCCAGGGTTTGCTCCTTCTACTATGTAGAGGTTTAGACCTATACCAGCGCCAAAGTGGGATTAGAAACATAGTTGTTAGATAAAGCAATGATCCAGTGCTAGGAATTCCAGCAGCAGGGCAGCTGTCCACAACCAAAGGGAGCAACCGAGTGTATTGGCACGGTGGGAAAGAGGAAAGCAATGATCAAGGCCCTGTGTAAAGCCACTGGGCGTCTTTCATTAGTGGATCCATTTCTGGAATTAATAAAATGCTAGGTTTGGCCATGCTAGTGTTGTCTCCACTCTCTCTCCGTGGAGAGGTGACCTGGGATACTGTTGGACAAGGGCAGAGGAGCTGGTAGGGGCATAGAGTGGGGAAGCAGCTCAGGCAGAAACCCCCTCTGGAGGGAGGCTGCTCCAAGGTCCACAGATTCCTCCTAAGCTGAGCTAAAGTAGCCTCTTGAAGTGCACTTAGCATCTCAGCAGAATGAGTGGCTGAAATGAGGGATCTTATAATGGAACAAAGCAGGGACACAGTAAGGTGAGGAGTTACAGAGGCTCTAGGAAGGGGCCAAAAATTGGTTTCACCTACTTCAGAGTTCTTAGCTCTGGAGGGGGCTGGGAACGGGAGGGAGGAGCAGGCAGTCCTGCCAGGTAGCACTGTGCTGCGTGTGGCCACCATATTCTCACGGTAGCGTCTCTCTGTCTGAGAGATGGCTGAGAATGTGAGAAGTACCACGCTGGCCAAGCCAGGCGCTCAATGGGTAGCATACAGGACTGTAGTGCTGGAAGCCACATGGCCAACTGTAGTTTCACCTCCCCGGCCCAATCAGACTGAAACGTGCCAGATGTGCATGTGTGTGCCCCCTTTTTCTGACAAGAGAGGGCCTGGAGGAAGGGGACTGCAGCGTGACTAGACCCCATCAAGGTGCCCTCCCCCCCCCCAGTGTGTGCACACATGCGCACATTCTCTGCCATGAACAGAGAAACTGGTGAAGGTAACTCTTTTTGGGGCACTGTGCCAAGGACCCAATATATGTTTTCTCCTTTCATCTTTATAGTAGTCCTGTAAAATAGATATCGTAATTATTCTTTTTCTTTCTTTTCTTTTGTTTTTTTTTTTTTTTTGAAGAGGCTTTTGCTATAGGGCATGTGCACTCACCAGAAAGAGAGACAGAGAAACAGAAAGCAAGAAATCACCCCCCAGGGGGGATGGCCATACCGCAATCCCTTCTCTTCCATTCTCCTCTCAGGATCTTGGACACACACACACACACATGCCCGGTGTGAGTTTAAGCCACTGGATCCGGGACTTGAACCATGTTCAACTACATGGAAGTTCAGCGACATAGCTATTACGCTAACTGCTGGTCCCAGATATCATAATTATTCTTTAGTGTAATTAGCACTTTACAAATGAGGACACTGAAACTCAGAGAAGTTACAAAGTTGCTTCAGTTAGTGACAGAATCAAAACCAAATTCCCCCCCCCCCAGTCTCATGTCTGAACTTGAGCTTTTGTTGACTTTTTATCACTGCTCATGCTTTTATTCCAAAAAATATTGACTGAGCGCTCACTGTGTCCCAGCACTGGTGTAAACATCAAGGATATGGCAGCTCACCAAGCAGGCAAAACCTGCTCTTACAGAGCTTGCAGTCTGAGGGAACGACATGGATAACAAAATGAGTACAATGTGGGTACGTGAGTAAGAAATGTTACGGAGTCAAGGAAGGGAATGTTGTGAGTTGTGTTACAATTTTAAATAGAGTAGCTATGGAAGGTGAACTAGAGGTGATATTTGTGTCAAGATTTTTTTCCAGTTAAGTTTATTTATTCATTCCACAAGAGATAGAGAAACAGACATCCCCAACAGGGTTCTCATGCCAGGATCCACCCGAGCCTCAGCCGACCTGGATCGTGGGCGTGCATGTGCACCTAGTGTACTCAGGGAGGCCTGGGACATGCACCAGGAACCTCCCCATATGGGTCAAGGTGCATATGCAGTGTTCTACCAACTGACCCCATGAGTCAAAAAAAAAATTTTTTTTTGAGAGGTTTTTTTGCTATAGGGCGCGTGCACTCACAAGAAAGAAAGAGAGAAGGAGAGAAATAGAAGCACCTTCCACAGCACTTGGTCACACTATGATCTCCCTCCTCTGGTCCTCCAGCCCACCACCTGTGCATGTGTCTGGTGTGTGTTCAGGCTGACCAGTTTGGGGACTGGAACAACAGTTGGCATGTGGCTATAATATGCTACTGACTGGGCACAGAGGCTGGGCCTTACCTGACATTGTAGTACGATCCCTTTGGCTGGAAATATACTGGAGCAGGCAAGGGCAGAGCTAGGAGGCCAGCTAGCTTGCCACTGCAGCAATCCAGGAAAGAAATGACTAGTTGCTTGGACCATGGTGGCAGAGGTGGAGAGGAGGCTAGGGAGGAGTCAGGTCCTGGATACATTCAGAAGCTGGGAAGATTCCTAGTGGGTTTGATGTTGGATGTGAAAAAGAGAAGAGTCATGGATAACTCCTCAGGGTTCTGGCTCAAGCAACTAGAAGGATGGAGTTGCCATTGATTAAAATGGTGAAGACATTTAGACAGGGGTGGTGGTGAGAAATGGGAGTTTAGTTTGGAGGGGCATTTTCTGGCAAGTCTGAGCTATCTATTGAACATGCAAGTGGAGATGTTTGGTGAGGCAGTATTTGAGTTGGGAGCTCAGGGAAGAACCTGGCTGACATGATAGACTTGGCAGTGAGCAGTTGATACATGTGTCCAAAGCCATGAACTTGGGCCAGATCTAGGATGTCACCCTGCGCTCTGTGTCCTACATGGCCCCTATTCTGTAGCAGACCCAGGGCATACGCTGCCCTCAAGCAGTCAGAGTAAGGCGAGAAAGTCAATGACTGCAGAACACTGAGGGGCGCTTCTGCAGGCCTTGGCCCTGATCCTTCCAGAATGGTCCTCTCGGAGTTCCTGAGCCTCAGTTTCCTCCCTGGAACTGGGAGGGGACCAAGAGAAACCTGGAAGGGAAGGGCTGTGTAAACTGTTGGACATTATTTTCAGGCATGCTGAAAGGCCCTATCTCCAAATAAAGACCCTTCTTTTTTTCTTTTTCTATTTTTTTCTTTTCTTTTTTTCTTTCTTTTCTTTTGTTTTTTTTTTTTTTTTTGAAGAGGCTTTTGCTATAGGGCATGTGCACTCACCAGAAAGAGAGACAGAGAAACAGAAAGCAAGAAATCACCCCCCAGGGGGGATGGCCATACCGCAATCCCTTCTCTTCCATTCTCCTCTCAGGATCTTGGACACACACACACACACATGCCCGGTGTGAGTTTAAGCCACTGGATCCGGGACTTGAACCATGTTCAACTACATGGAAGTTCAGCGACATAGCTATTACGCTAACTGCTGGTCCCAGATATCATAATTATTCTTTAGTGTAATTAGCACTTTACAAATGAGGACACTGAAACTCAGAGAAGTTACAAAGTTGCTTCAGTTAGTGACAGAATCAAAACCAAATTCCCCCCCCCCCAGTCTCATGTCTGAACTTGAGCTTTTGTTGACTTTTTATCACTGCTCATGCTTTTATTCCAAAAAATATTGACTGAGCGCTCACTGTGTCCCAGCACTGGTGTAAACATCAAGGATATGGCAGCTCACAAAGCAGGCAAAACCTGCTCTTACAGAGCTTGCAGTCTGAGGGAACGACATGGATAACAAAATGAGTACAATGTGGGTACGTGAGTAAGAAATGTTACGGAGTCAAGGAAGGGAATGTTGTGAGTTGTGTTACAATTTTAAATAGAGTAGCTATGGAAGGTGAACTAGAGGTGATATTTGTGTCAAGATTTTTTTCCAGTTAAGTTTATTTATTCATTCCACAAGAGATAGAGAAACAGACATCCCCAACAGGGTTCTCATGCCAGGATCCACCCGAGCCTCAGCCGACCTGGATCGTGGGCGTGCATGTGCACCTAGTGTACTCAGGGAGGCCTGGGACATGCACCAGGAACCTCCCCATATGGGTCAAGGTGCATATGCAGTGTTCTACCAACTGACCCCATGAGTCAAAAAAAAAATTTTTTTTTGAGAGGTTTTTTTGCTATAGGGCGCGTGCACTCACAAGAAAGAAAGAGAGAAGGAGAGAAATAGAAGCACCTTCCACAGCACTTGGTCACACTATGATCTCCCTCCTCTGGTCCTCCAGCCCACCACCTGTGCATGTGTCTGGTGTGTGTTCAGGCTGACCAGTTTGGGGACTGGAACAACAGTTGGCATGTGGCTATAATATGCTACTGACTGGGCACAGAGGCTGGGCCTTACCTGACATTGTAGTACGATCCCTTTGGCTGGAAATATACTGGAGCAGGCAAGGGCAGAGCTAGGAGGCCAGCTAGCTGGCCACTGCAACAATCCAGGAAAGAAATGACTAGTTGCTTGGACCATGGTGGCAGAGGTGGAGAGGAGGCTAGGGAGGAGTCAGGTCCTGGATACATTCAGAAGCTGGGAAGATTCCTAGTGGGTTTGATGTTGGATGTGAAAAAGAGAAGAGTCATGGATAACTCCTCAGGGTTCTGGCTCAAGCAACTAGAAGGATGGAGTTGCCATTGATTAAAATGGTGAAGACATTTAGACAGGGGTGGTGGTGAGAAATGGGAGTTTAGTTTGGAGGGGCATTTTCTGGCAAGTCTGAGCTATCTATTGAACATGCAAGTGGAGATGTTTGGTGAGGCAGTATTTGAGTTGGGAGCTCAGGGAAGAACCTGGCTGACATGATAGACTTGGCAGTGAGCAGTTGATACATGTGTCCAAAGCCATGAACTTGGGCCAGATCTAGGATGTCACCCTGCGCTCTGTGTCCTACATGGCCCCTATTCTGTAGCAGACCCAGGGCATACGCTGCCCTCAAGCAGTCAGAGTAAGGCGAGAAAGTCAATGACTGCAGAACACTGAGGGGCGCTTCTGCAGGCCTTGGCCCTGATCCTTCCAGAATGGTCCTCTCGGAGTTCCTGAGCCTCAGTTTCCTCCCTGGAACTGGGAGGGGACCAAGAGAAACCTGGAAGGGAAGGGCTGTGTAAACTGTTGGACATTATTTTCAGGCATGCTGAGCTGGAGGACATTTCATTTATTCCCTGCTCATTAAGCAGCTGCCTCTTCCAGGGAAACAGCTGCTCGTTTATTTACTTTTTCTGGTTTTCTCTGTCCCCCAGAGTCCTCCCTGATGCCACCGTCTGGGCTGCATTGCACATCCCGCTGTATCTTACCTTTCGCCAAGTTGCCTTGAAACTGAGGCGCCTCATTCACATCTGTTACCTGGACAGTCAGGATCTGCAGGTCTGTGACACCCACCTTGTCCTTAACATAAATCTGCAAATCAAATATGTTTGGTCTTGTTTCAAAATCTAGTTGCTCTTTCCCGGTGGTGACAACCTAAAACAAAATGCAAAATTCTTAGTAACCAGGTGAGAAAAAGACCAGTTTTCTCTGCACAGTTGGTGAAGGAGTTTTGCTAGGGAGGAAGCATCCTGGAGACCATCTTTCATTCCCTGTCAGAGGAACCAGTTGTTTCTCCTTAGTCCTTAACATGTTCTAATAGAATCTTGCGGCTGCTAACGCACACCCAAGACACACCACTAAAGCGACTCCTGTGAGAGTTGCTGCTTTTCATAGGGAATACAAATATTCTGGAGACATTCTGGTGCAACGGACTGGAGATGCAGAGCCCGAAACTAAAAAAAATCCTATCACAACTTGGAGGTAGGCTTCTAGACACGTCTCTTAGCTATGCTGAATATTGTTCAGGATTTTCTCCTCAAGAAAGGTTGCTAAACTTCCCTGAGACTGCAGTGAGTCCTCTCTTGACTCGTCACTGCATACTAGTTTTCCCAAGGCCACATTTGAGACTAAACTAGAAGATGGCCATTGATGTGTCCTCTGTACTCTTAAGTATTTTGCAGATGCAAGAGGGACACCAAGAACCAGGGCCAGAGAGACACTACCAGAATCTAAAGCTGGTGCTAGCAGGAATCCCAGGGGTTCTGCTGAGGCTAACTGGAGGCCAGCCTGTGACCTGTCACATCTATGGGTACATTCTACCACCAGCTTAGCCCCTGGGACTCCCAGAAGGTTTAGAGCCCTTGGGTACATTAAGGACTAAATTTCATCTCTGTCTTTAGCATGTCCTAATAGAATCTTTTGGCTGCTAGCACCACAGGGTCAGGTGGTGAGACATTCAGAATGTCAATGCTCAGCACTTGGTAGGTGAGAGCCAGCTTATTCCAGACTGAATGGCTTCAAGGTCCAGCCTTCCCATTTCCTACCCTTTACACACCTCAGTTATCTTTTCTGTAAAATGGGAATAATAATAGGGCTGTCACAGGGATGAAATGAGCTAATTCATAGGCAGGATTCGGCGTGCTGTCTGGCAGTAAGCAAGCCCTCCGCACTTGGTGACTTTTCTGACCTAGGTAGTCCTGCTTAAGAAACGCAAGGGTGCTCACCAGAGCAGGCCCTCCTGATGCAATGATCCACTCTGTTTCCTGATTTATACCCCAGCTTCCTGCTACGCCTAGAGCCCTCTTCTGAACCCTAAACTTGAATAGATCCTTTACCTCAATATTACCTTTCCCTTGAAAACCAGCTCTAATATCCTAAAAAAAGGAGGTAATATCAGTCAAGAAAGGGCCCCCAAATGTTTTGAAACTGAAAGAATTGCATTGTTATCAACACAAATGGAGAGATTATTCTAGATGATTTTAGTGTTGTTGTTATAGCATTTAGTAAATGTTCATATGCCAAGTTCTTGATAGGTAATTTTACAGAGCATTTCATTTCATTGTTGCAACAAGCACAGATTGTTAAAACTTTCCCCATTACACAAACAGGACTGGGACAGGGAGGGAAAGGCACTCTGTAAAGGTCCTAGCTGGGAGTGGTGGAACCTCAATGTGTTCACAGGCTGCAGAGTTTTGGTGAAAAATAGTAAGTTTAGCTTTGGGCATACTAAATTTGAGTCATTCTGGAGACGCTGAGCAAACTTGTAGGTCTACAGTGCTTAGGACAAAAGAGGGGAAAAAAGAGGAGTCAGGCTCAGAGATGGCAGATGAGAGAGGAGCAAGTGCCAGCCTCCGCAGGACCTCGGAGAGCTCCTGTCTTCACAACTCTCCGGCTCCTCAAAATTATACTTCTGCTCCAGGAAAACACCATGACCCAGCATGTGGCCCAATGAAGCTCTGACGTCTCTCTTGCTGGGCAATAGCAAGCCAGCACAGCGTGGGAGCCACCATCACAAAACTCAAGTCTGCCACTTATGCGACCTTGGGCAAATTACTCAACCTCTCTACACTCAATTTTCCTTTACATGCAAGTAACAGTTCACCCCTTCATATGTTACAAAGATTTGATGAATGAATTTACAAAATGTTTAGGGCAATTTCTGACAATTATCAGTGCTCTGTACACGTGGATTGTTGCCATCATCACCATCATTATCATTATTATGCACCCTCCTCATCTCTCCCACTCACCCCCCAGAAGTCTCAGCAGAGAAGCCCAAAGCAGAGAAGCCTGGCCTCTGGGACGATTAAGAGCTCACCCTCAAGAACCATGACTGAGCTCCAAGGCCAACAATGACAGAACCTGTGGGTCAGAGAGCCAATAACCTCTTCACTGATTCATTGTCTTTCAGAGTGTCAAGGCTATCCAGGAGGAGCTAGGTTCTGCCACAGAGGTGGTATTATCATGTTCAGAAGATGGCAGGAGTAGGTCCTGTGAGCAGTTTGTGTTGGAGAATAGGATCTTGGACGAGTGATTGACAATGTTGGGTAGTTTGTGGGGAGAAGCAACCAATTCGTTTTTTGTTTGTTTTTTAAAGAATTATTTTTAATTTAACTTTATTTGTTATTATTATTTTCCAGTTTGATCAGAGAGAAAGAGAAAGTGAGAAAGCAAGCCACCAAGTCCAGGACTTGAAATGCAGTCAGCCATGTGGGAGTCCAGTGCCCTTCACCACAGTACCTTCGTGCCCAGCAACCAGTTCTTAAGAACAGCTTCGAGACCAGCAGATGGCGTAATGGTTTCATCGCTGGACTCCCACTTAGTTGACTGCGTTTTGTGTCCCAGACTTGGTGGTTTAAAACTCATGCTGAGTGTGTGTGCCCAAAATCCTGGAAGGAGAATGGAGGAGAAGAGATTGTGGTGTGGCCATTGCCCCTGGGGATGAAGGGAGGAGAATGGGGGAGAAGAGATTGTGGTATGGACATTGCCCCTGGGGATGAAGGGGAGTGGGTGATTTCTTGCTGTCTGTCTCTCTCTGTCTCTTCAGTGAGCACACAAGCCCTACAACTAAAATCTCTCTCTAAAAAACAAAACAAAACCAACAACAACAACAACAACAAAAACCTTCAAGGGACCAGCAGGTGGCATAGCAGTTAAGGTGCTGGACTCCCACGTGGCCAATCATGAGTCCTAGACCCGATGACTTGAAATTCATGCCAGGCATGTGTGTATACGTGCTCCAAATCCTAGGAAAATGGAGGAGAAGGGATTGTGGTTTGGCTATTCCCCCTGGAAGGGAGTGTGATTTCTCACTTTCCCTCTCCCTGTCTCTCTCTAGCAAGCGCAATACCCTATGGCAAGAACTTTAAAAAACAAAAAAAAACAAACAAAACTGCTTCAAACCTTGTGAACCTGTTGCCCATCCTAGTACCAACACAGTGTCCTGGGTACTGCGGGGTGTGATGCCAGGAGGGCACAAGGCTGGGACAATACACTGAACATTTGAGCCTAGATTAATTGTAGGGCTAAGAAATTCACCATTCCTACAGGTTAGAAACATGATAGAATTGTTCCTGATTGACAGTCTTTCTTGAATTGCATGAAACGTGGAAAGGACAAGTCCCATAAAGAAAGATTTGGGGGCCAGCCTGTGGTGTGATGATTAAGAGGCTAGACTGTGCATTTTGAATCCTGGGCTTGGCAGCTTGAGGAGCACACTGAGCATGTGTGTGTGCATGCCCGCAATCCTGACAGGAGTGAGAAAATGGAGGAGAAGGGGATGCGGCATGACTATCTCACTTCCCTGCTTTCTGTGTGTCTCTCTCTAGAAAGCATACATGTCCTCTGGCACTTTTAAAAAATATATTTATTTATTTAATTTTATTTATTATTATTATCTTTTAAAATTTTTATTATATAGTATATATGCTCACCAAGGAGAGAAAGAGAGAGAGCGAAAGTGAGAAAGCAAGCTGCCAGGTCTGGGATTTGAAGTGTGGTCAGCCATGTGGGAGTCCAACACCTTAACCACCATGCCACCTGGTAATTTTTTTTGAAGAACAATTTGGGAACTTATCAAAACAGTAAGAAATGGGGGCTGGTAGGTGGCATGGTGGTTAAGGTGCTGGACACCCACATGACTGACTGTGGTTCGAGTCCTAGAACTGGCGGCTTGCTTTTTCACTTTCCTTTTTTCTCTGTCTTTCTCACTCTCACTCTGATCAAATTAAAATAAATAAATAAATAAAGTTAAATAAAATAATTCTTAAAAAAAATCCAGCAATAAATGTTCATAGCAATATGGGAGAAAGAGTCTCGAATTGGGAATCAGAAGGTCTTTTTTGTAAAAAAATTATTTATTTAACTTTATTTATTATTACCATTTAAAATTTTGCTATAGGGCACATGTAGAGAAAGAGAGAAGGAAAGTGAGAAAGCAAGCTGCCAGGTCTGAGACTCAATCTGTAGTTGACCATGTGGGAGTCCAGGCTCTTAACCACCATGCCACCTGCTGGCTCTCCAGAATCAGAAGGTTCTTATTTCATCTTTTATGGCTATGAGATCTTGAACAAATCACTTACTGGCTCTTCATTCTCCTATATCAAAAATTAGGAGTTAAAAAAATGTTTTATTGCTAATATTAGTGTTGTAACAATCAAGAATCAGGTATATGAATGTGCTTTGGAACTTCTATGCAAATTTTAAAAGAATTTTTAAAAATTTAACTTTATTTATTCATTTGTTTATTTTTTAAAGAATTATTTATTTAATTTTATTTATTCATTCATTTATTTTAATTTGACCAGAGAGAGACAAAGAGAGAGAGAGAGAAAGAAAGTGAGAAAGCAAGCCACCAGGTCCAGGACTCGAACTGTGGTCAACCATGTGTGAGAGTCCTACTCCTTAACCACTATGCCACCTGCTGTCCCCCTTCTATGCAAATTTTAAAAAGCAGAGTCAAAATCATTATTAAAGACAGTTGACCACTGAGGCTGAGGATGAGAGCTTCCTGGTGAAAACATTGCAAATTTCTGTCAGCTGATGAATGGATAGACAGAATGTGGTATATTCATATAATGGACTATTCCTTGACTGTAAAAAGGAATGAAGTACTGACATATCATACAGCATGGGTGACCCATGAAAGTTCATGCTAGATGAAAAACGCCAGTCATGGTATGTGATCTCATCCATATGAAATGTCCAGAATAGGTAAATCCATAAAGATAAAGAGTTGATCAGAGGTTGCCAGGGACTGGGAGGATAGGAGAATTGGGAGTAACTGCTAATGGGTTTGTGTTGTGGCTATAAACATTTTCTAAAATTGGATTGTGGCAGATAGAACTCTGTGAATATACTGAAAAGCACTAAATAGGTGGATAATATGTATGTAAATTATATCTCAATAAAGCTGTTTTAAAAAACAGGGAGAGCTCTTAAGCAAGGCTATCTAGATTCTGGTCTCAGCTTAGCTGCCAGGGCAATTTACTCAACCCCACCATGCCGTTATTTTCCCCACCTGTGAAAAGAGGGTAATAATATAAGTGCAGTACTCATTTTTATTACTATGTTATGAGAAAGAGACCCTAAAAGGGTCTTGCCATGCTCTGACCCTCCTCATACCCTTCCCACCAGGACCATGAGTATACCCGGTGTGTTCAGGTCAGCCTGGGATCTGACCCCAGGGTCTACCCATAAGGCTTCCGCGTTCACAGCAGTGCCCTACTGCCTGCACCAGTGTGGCCGGGCCTCAGTCCTCAGGCACTAAGGATTCCAAGAGCAAACACACGCAAAGCACTTTCAACAGTGTCTGGCATGTACAATGTGCTCTGTAAGTGAAAGCACTTGGCAAGGCTTATGGAAACAAATGAGCAGCAGCTGTTAAAGACAAGCCAGATGTCAAGGAGTAGGTAGCCAGGGCAGTCAAGTTCACAGACTCCATACCTGAGCCCAGGAATGTAAAGTGGATCCCAGGTGAAGACTGATGAGTGTGTGCTCACCACATACCAGAGTCCACCCCAGGCTGTTGGGAACATTAGACACCTCTGACCTTGAGTCTTGGGTTCGGCAGAACTGCTTAAGGCCAAGATGTACCCTTTTTTTTTTTTTTTGGAAAGGTTTTTGCTATAGTGTGTGTGGGCTCACCAGAAAGACAGAGAGACAGAAAGTGAGAAATGGCCATGCCACAATCCCTTCTCTTCCATTCTCCTCTAGGGATCTTGGGCATGTATGCACACACACCCAGTGTCAGTTTAAGCCACTGGGTCTTGGACTTGAACTGTGGTCGACTACATGAGACCAGTGACATGGCCATTACTCCAACTGCTGGTCTCAAGGCCCAGATGTGTACACTTCTTAAAAGTTCCCCTAGTTACTCTAAATATAAGCCAGTATGAGATCACCTAGTATGTGCCCTCAGGGAAGCAATTGAGCTTAGATCACGTAGGTCCCACAAGGACCCCAGAAGAATGGTGGGTGACACCAGTAGTAGGACTGATTGTAATTGCTAGAAGTTCTTAGGCCAGTTGAGGAAGGGGGCAGGGGTCATGGATGTCAAAGTATAAGTACATCCAAATCTCTGGACATTCTTGGAAGACCTCTGAGATTACCGGTAGAAGACATGCTATGGCCAGGCTTGCCCTCCCTCGGAAATAACTTTGGAGAAAACTCAAATGAAAAATTAGAAAACACAGCAGCAGGGGCATGGCTACTTAAATGTGAGTGATTGGGTCTGAATTATCTAGAAGGAAACATTCACACAGTAGTAGGGTTGTACATTATATTTTATTACAGGACATGTGTCTTTCATATTAAATAAATTTCCTCTTAGATGTCCTCCAGAAAAATTATAGATTCACAGAACAGAATCAGTAGACCCAAATTTTGCTTTGTTTTGTTCGCTTTTAGATTTTTGCTATAGGGCATGTGCACCACTAGAGACAGAGAGAGAGAGAGAGAGAGAGAGTATCCCCCAGGGTGGATAGCCATGTCACAATCCCTTCTCCTCCATTCTCCTTTAGGGACCTCGGGCATGCAAGCCACCAGGTCTGTGACTTGAACAGCACAGTTGGCCATATAGGATCCCATTGCCTTAACTACCATGCTGCCTGCTGGCCCAGGGCTTGGCTTTTAAGATCAGTACCCTAATCATGCCACCCACAGAACTTCTAACGCCTGATATCATAGGAGGGAGGTTGGCAATAAGAAACAAACCTTTTATTTGTGACAAATTGAGCAAGTTGTTCATGCGAACTGTATTACATGGAGACGGTCCAAAGGCTATATTGGCATCTAGCATGGAGGACTCTAGGACACTCCAAACAGGACTTCCAGATCTTACAAGAGGGGAGATTAAATGTGGGAAGGGAAGAAACGATCACTGGTCTAGAATCCCAGCTACCCTCCATAGTCCTGAAGGACCACTTCAGCGACCACTCCCATGGGGCTGCTTACCTCAAATTCAGTGCCCGACAGCACGTTCACCCTGAAGGCTTCAGTGAGGGGACTTGAGTTGATTATCTGGGGAAAGCCTGGAACCACAGGTGACTGTGATGCTGATAAGTTCACAGAAAACTTGTGCACCAAAGTGTTAGGTGGAGAATTCTCTGGCACGTCGCTTGTCGTAGGCAAGTGAATGAGGTGCAGTGCTTCTCCCCCTGTGGATTTAAAAAAAGATGCAAAACGACATGAACACAAAGCCTTCTGCTGGGAACAGGGACTTAACAGCTTGTTCTGTGCCTTCATTTCGTAGCTCAGGGCAACGAGAGGACCTGGTCACTCCCCAAGAACAAATGTTCTTGCCAAGTGCTGGAAATGGAAATGAGAGATCTTCTGGGAGCCAAGAAAACAACTACCACAAAACAACTATGAAATCTGCTTCTGTCATTCGGTAAACAGAGCTACTGCTTCTCGCGTGTCTCCCAGCCTTTGTGAAGAGCCAGGGAAAGAAAATTGTGAGACTATAGGAGATGGACACCCACCTGAAGGGCCTTGTCTAGTTAAGACAACCCCTGTCTTGTACAGGCCCGGCAATTTACAAGAGTTTATTTTCCTTCTGTGTGTCAGTGTTTGATTCACGAGGTCACTTGAGAATCAAGTGTGTGTGATTGGAGCACTCACATATCGTGCTAGAATGCCCCTTACCCATTAGTCATCTCGAGGACTACTGCTCACTCTTATTGGATGCTGTAGGCATCATGTGAAGGCTCAGTCAGAACTTCTTGGTTGATAACCTCACATTTCACAGAGGAGGAAATGCAAGACCCAGGGAGGGCACATGAATTACTTTGGGCTACATTATAGACAAGGAATTCTAGAATTTAAAAGAAAATGCTTCCCCCAAATCTTCCATGACACTCTGCAAGACTTCACCAATACAGAAGAGAGCAACAGGCCACATTCTCTCAGGTTTCCATATTGATGGCTACCATAGTGGGTTGAGCAGTATTCCCCCAAGGAGACCCCCAGAACATACCTTATTTGGAAACAGAGTCTTTGTAAGTGTAATTAGTTGAGAAGAGGTCACACTGAATTAGGGTGACCCTTAACTCCGGTGACTGGTGTGCTTATAAGGAGACAGGATACACACACAGAAAGATGAAAGCCATGGGATAATAGAGGTAGAGATTGTAGAGATGCAGCTATAAAGCTAAGGGATGGAAAGTAACCAACAGAAGCTAGGAGGTGGGTATGGAATAGATTTTCCCTCAGAGTCTCCAGAAGAAATCAATCCCACCCACACATAGATTTCAGACTTCTGGTCTCCTGAACTATGAGAGGATACATTTCTGTTGTTTTAAGCCACCCAGTTTGTGGTCATTTGTCATGGCATCTCCAGGAAACTAATAGAATTACCATGTATTCAATGTTCCAAATAAGTGCATCACGTAAATCTTTTTTTTAAATTTATTCTTCAAAACAATCCTCTCCAGTAAGTATCAATGTCATCCCTATACAGATGAGAAAACTGAACTAAAGAAGCACAGCAAATAATAAATGACAAAGTCAAAAATTACACCGAAGTCCGACTACCTAGCTTCCAGTCTCAGTCACCATCAGCCACTGGGGACAGAAAACCGGAAAGGTAGGAGGCACATGGGTGGAGAGAGAATGAAAGGATCTGTCCTACTGAAAGGTGTAGCATTGTAGAAACAAACAAGCCACGGACATTGTTGGGTTTTGTAAGAGAATGTTTTTATTTCAGTTGGGGAGGGGGAACAGAGAAGTAAATGGAAATGTGGAGAAAATTGAAATATAAGTGCATTCATTGATACAAGCTTTCACATCTAAAAATCATCTTCTTCAGTTTGGAGCCTAAAATGCATAATGCATAAGTTATCGTTGCTCAGAGAATTATCAAGTTTTACAGACAAGGACTGTGCAAGGACTCAGAAATATCAAAATATCTGAGGTTTTAAGGTGATGTGAATATGGACAGTTTTTTTTTTAACTCATTAAAATTGATTTTAATCTATAGCATTCTTGTGATTAAAAAAAAAAAAAAACAAGCAAAAGCAAAACAACAAAAAATAGAATGCTTGGAGTGTTTAGAGACAAAACGCTCCCAGGAATCGTTTTTCAAAATGAGCAAAATACTCTATTGCTTTGGTGGGTTGGGTTTTTAGGCATAAATCTCTCAGATTCTCCTTTCCCACAATCAACACTCACCAGGGCACACCCCTGAGCTGTTCGTGAGAGTATTTTCTCTGGCAAGACAGAGACGGCTATAAGCGAAATGAAATGTACCCATCCTCTTCCCTTGCTCCCTCCCAACCTCCCTCATCTATCCTTTGGTCAAAGAAAAAAATACAGCTTATTGCATTTTTCTCAAAAAAACCAGCCTGGGGTGAAGAAATGCCTAGCCCAAAGGAACACACAGCAGTAAGTAGCCATTTGCATTTACCAAGCACCTACTCTCCAGGCATTGTGCTGGCTGCCTTGCTGTCTGAGTTCACCCACCCCCAACACAGCCCTGCAATGACAGTCTTGCTGTTGTCACTTCACCCACCTGAGATTGCACATTCAGTCAGTGGCTGTGGTGAGCCCTGGTGCCTTGCATGTGAATCTTGTAGGTAACAGCCTGCACATACCTGCTGCAGACAGTCGGTAGCTGCATGCCTGTGGCATGACCATGCACTTGTGGTGCATTGTGGTTATTCTGTGACCTGGGAACACTGTGGCAACATGGCTCTGGGGCTGGTAAGAACTGGACCTTCGATGTGGGTTTGGGTGATGTGATCTATAAGAGGCTGTTTTTTAAAACAGAAGAATTGTACGAGAGCATGAGCTTGATGTGGGCACAGGTATGTGAGAGGCTTGCTGCGCTCCATGCAAGCATTCCACAGCCTCTGCCTGAGTGGTCAGATAACTATGGCCTCCAACCTTTGGGGAATGAGGTAGTCTAGATAAGCCGTGCTCCCTAAATGTTGCCTGCCGACGGCTCCTGATTTACTTTGCTGGAAGTGTACCTGTTGTTTTTTGTCGAATTTATCAGACCTTTGGCAAGTCCTGGTTGGACAGGCTAATTCGTTTTTTTTTATTTTTATTTTTATTTATTCATTCATTTGTTTTATTTTATTTTTGGAGAGGTTTGTGCTACAGGACGCTTGTGCTCACCAGAGAGACAGAGACAGAAAGGGAGAAATCACCTCCCAGGGGGGATGGCCACGCCGCAATCCCTTCTCCTCCATTCTCCTCTCGGGATTTGGCCATGCACACACATGTGCCCAGCATGAGTTTAAGCCGCCGGGTCCAGGACTTGAACCGCTGTTGACTACATGGGAGTTCAGTGACATAGCCATTACACTAACTGCTGGGCCCCAAGTTTTTTTTTTTTTAAAAGGTAGTTCTTGTTTGTAGTTGCTGATTTTTAAAAATGTTTTGAAAAGTTATTTATTTTTTAAAAATTATACTTGTTGTTATTATTTATTTTTAATTTGACCAGAGAGAGAGAGAAAGGGAAGGTGAGAAAGCAAGCTGCCAGGTCTGGAACTCAAACTGCCTTACCCACCATACCACCTGCTGGCTCCAGTCTGTTGTTTTAAGTTGCCAGAGGGTATGTGCGCTTCCCAGAGAAGAAAAAGAGAGAGAAAGCAGCCCCTATGGGGTGGTCATGCTGCAGTCCTTTGCCCTTCACCATTTCTTCCCATCAGGATTTTAGGCACATACGTGCACACACACACCGGGTATATTTTTCAAGCCACTGAGCCGAGATGTGAACCATGCTTGGCCATGTGAGATCCAGCTCCAAATACTCAGTGCTTAGCCACTGGGTTATAGGGTCAGCTCCCTCAAGCAACTTATACTGTGAACTCCCTGTTCAAGTCATGGCTACAGCCAGATTGCCCTTGGATAAGCCCTTTCTGCTGATACTCTGGCTCTCTCTTGTTCCTCTCTTCCTCTGGTGGCCTTCCTTCCAGGGCAGGGCCATATGTGCCAGGTTCATGCAGTTGTATCCTGAACACTACTGCAGACACTCTGGGGATATGATAAGAGGTAGCCAAGATCGGAGCTCTTGACCCTGAGTGCAATATCTAGTTCCTCCAGCTCTCTGGTTAGTAAAAAATGTAGTCATAATAACTATAGCAATAGCAATAATAGTGAGTAGGGTACACACCTAAAAATAGAGCATTTAATAAGATGCACTTCACGAGATGTTCAGCCCGCTCTTTATGCAGATAAGTTTAAGTGATATGCCCAGAGGCATCTTGCTGATGCAAGGCAGAGGGAAGGTCAGAGGCCAGAAGTGGGCTGTCCCTAAGATGCTGTGCACTTTCTTTCCAAGGCTGGTCTGCCAGCTTTCTTTGGTGGTCTGAGTGCTGAAGAGTGAAAGAGAGGCTCTAATGGAATCTGACTTACACATGCATCTTAATTAAGAATCAAATTAGAATTGCTTGAAGCATACACTTGGAAAAAGAAAAAGCAGCGCACGAAAGATTTATTATCAGTCACTGAGCCCACTGGAACATCTCGCTGGTGGTTGAGATCTGGATTCATTATGGGCTCACTGTTTCCCTTGAATCAACGTCTTTCTAGAAAGGGACCAATGAGGCCTCTTCCCAGGACAACTAAGGCTTCTGGAGCCTTGGTGCCAGGGGAGGAAGCTGGCCCTGCTGGGGCCCTGACACCAACAGTACTGATGTGGTCAAGGACGTGGGGAGATGCTACCTTCTGCTGGGAATGCAGCTGCTCTGACTTAGAGCTCTGCTTTCAGTAACAGAGCAGTACTTGCCTGAGACAGGCACCCAGTAAATACCCCTTTATTCTCTCTAATACCTAATCAAAACCTAGTGCAGGAAATTAATGCTTTGAAAAGAGCAAGGGATTTGGAATTAGAGCTTTAGCTTTACCACTACTTGACTGCCTGTGTGACCTTGGGCAGTTCCTTCACTTCTCTGGTGATCCCTGTCAAGTCTATTTCTCAGGACTATGGTGCTACGCTGACAGTGGCCATTAAACAAGGTTCTGTCGCCAAAGACAGCTCGGAGGACCTGAATGACCACACTTACAAATCTACAGTTTTATTACAGAAAAAGCATACCATATAGCAACAAAGTAAAGTAAAGATATGCATCACAGCTGAGTGCTTCCTGATAACCAGAGATCCAGAGAGGCCAGGTGCAGGCTCCCATTGTCTGTTTTCCTCTAAGGGCCATGGTTGGATGCACTTTCTTGTATCAGAAGCCATTGATTAATGCACAAATAGCTTGTAGCCATGGAACCCAAAACGGACTCTCTGCTGGAGT